GGTAATAATTTTTTAAAAGAAAAAAAATTAAAGATAAGTTCAAGCTCACGGTCATTTCTATTATATTTCCTTTAGTCGTCCTTAACTTAGTCACCTAATGCTTGGTCATTCTTAGCACCTCAGGGCTTCCTGAAGTAGACCCTAAACAATTGTAATGCATTTTGGAGAAGGCAACCCTAGGGAGAAACATATCAGATCTGAGTTCTCAGATGAAGGCCAGGGCTTTAACAGTACGGCTATATTTGAATTGTAAAGGGAGGACATAAGAAGAGTCTTCATTTCATAGATCCTATGTCAGTTTTTCCTTTCACACATTCATCCAGCCATCCACCCACACATCTGTTCAGGAATGCAGTTTTCTTACGTAAACCTGCTTACTTGCAGATATATCTAGGCCAAAGCAAGGACAATTTTGACTTTCCTAAGGATAGAGAGAAATCTCAGGTGAAATGAAATCAGAGCTGCAATACAGGAAAAAAAACCCCACCTAATGTTGTGTGAAAATGCAGGGCATTTCCGAGCATGATGGTGTGTGCTTTTAATCTCAGCACTGGGGAGGAAGAGGCAGGTCGACCTCCACATGGTCGAGGTCAGCCTTGTCGACATACCAAGTTCAGGCCAGCTGGGGCTACACAGTGAGACCCTGTCTCAAAAACAATGTAGGACACAAAGTGGAATCATCAGTTATGTCCTGGAGCTTTGCTGTGAGCAGCATTTTCAGGTTGAGGGTAGAGATACAGCACAGAAAGGCATGTGGCCAAGGGCCATCACCTGGATGCTGTCTGGATCTGGACAGAGAAAATTATCCACGTTGAAAATTTGGGTTGGTTGTTAAAGCTCCAATCCCTTTCTCTGTGCTTATATCAACAACGTTGGGTTCGAAGTTTGGGAGAAGACACAGTGCTCAATGTAGAACAGAATGAAGGAAGCCCTGTTGCGCATGGGGCTTGCTCCCTCTTTGAGGGCTTTTCTTACAAGCTCTTCCTGTCATGGAAAAGCGTGTGCTGGAGAAACCTCTCAGCCAAGATGCCAACTTGACATTAGCTCACTTGTAAATTGGGACTTTCAAACAGCAGGTTAATTAAAGAGTCTCAGGAGAATGCCTGCAAGTGAGCATGAGGGGCATGGGGCTCCAGCACTGCGTTCACATGTATAAACTCACACAGACATACACATATATATGTAATTAAAAAAGAAAGATTGAGGCTGGAGAGATGGCTCAGCAGTTAACAAAACTGGCTGTTGTTTCAGAGGAACTGGGCTTGGTTCCCAGCACCCACGTGGTGGCTAACGACTATTTGTAACTCCAGTTCCAGGCAACTTGATGCCTTCTTCTGGCATTGCATGACACACAGGTGCACTTAGAAAACAAATAAAATATTTAAAAATATGTTGTTTTAATTTAACCTATTATTATCAACAGGGTCTCATGTATTCCCAATTGATCCTGAACTCAATATGTAATTGAGGAGGACCTTGAACTTTTTTTGTCTTTTTGAGACAGGGTCTCCCTGTAGCCTCAGCTGACCTGGAACTCACTCTGTAGACCAGGGTGGCCTCAAAACCACAGAGATCTGCCTGCCTCTGCCTCCTAAATGCTGGGATTGAAAGCATGCACCAGCACACCCGGGACCTTGAACTTCTGATCCTTCTGTCTTGGATTATAGGTGCCCCCTTCATGTGGAGGCAAGAATGGAACCCATGGTTTCATGTATGTCAGGCTAGCACTCTGACACCTGAGCTACATCCCAGGGCCAGTTTAACTCATTATCGTTTTTATTGTTGTTACCCTCTTTTGAATAGACAACAGTTACTCAGTTCAATATGTAAAATCTATAGAAAAGAACATATTAAGAACCCTTTCACTCAAGCGCCACGGTGCCAGTCCCCTGCACTGGAGGTAACTGATGTGGCTAATTTCTTTAGTAGCATTCCAAGCAAATGCTCACATGTTAGTTCCCTCTTTTTCCCCTCAGCAGACAAAATAGCGTACCATCCTGTGGTACAGGAAAGACACACTTTGGCACAGAGCCCTTTTCACTTGACACGTGCTGCTGATCATTCCAAATCAGTAGTGAGAGTGTCCTTGTGTCCTTGTTTTTGCTTGTTCTTTCTCTTTAAAGACTGCAGATGGTTTGTATCAGGCACGGCCATTTTTTTTTTTTTTTTTTCCTGTAAAGGGCTAGACAGTAAATATTTCAGGCATTAGGGTCCACATGGTCTCTGTCCCATATGCTGCTACTGTTTCCCTTTTTGTTTTTTGACAAAAACTAAAAACCAAACCAAACCAAACCAAAAGTTTTGACTCTGCTAGAACATTCCATTTCCTGTGCCTAGTATATCACCTGACCCAGATGAACAATAAGAACCTTCTGGTCAACTGAACAGGTGGAGAATCTCAAGCCAACACACATTTCCTCCTCGGCCTTTATTTCTTCTCTAGTTCTGCCTTCTTGCCCAGCAGCCACGAAACATAAATTTCCCTTTTTAAAAATATGTCCACACAAGTTCCCATTCCAGTTCTTTCTTCTCTGAGTGACAAATTCAGTGTTACTCTTATGGAGTTTTTTTATGCCTACTCTAGCTAGGGTAAATTTCTTTCTGCAGTCTCCCAGAGCACTGTGTGCAGACCTCCCTAATCATCCTGGGCCAAATTAGCTACCAGTAGTTTGTTGGCTTTTGTATTTCTATTCTGAGTACCCCCAAACAGTGTGCACATATACAATCGCATTTCACTTTTACCTACAATGACCTCCTTCAGGGAAGGGGGTACCTGGAATGGAGTGCAAGCAGCAACAACAGACACAATATAAGTAGCTGGAGCACGTGTCTATGATAAGAGCATATTTAAATCTCATAAGAACCCTGATGAGGTTGTACTTTTAGGATCTGTGCTTTAGAGATGAGGAAATGAGTTGCTAGCCAGGTGGCAGCTTGCCCCTGGTGGCTTTGGCGTGCGCCAGCAATCAGCCATGGTGAGGGCTCTTTGAAGGCTTGGCTGTTCTGGAGTGTTCTATGCCAGCATGGTGCACAGATCTGCCTGAGACCCACGGTACTCTGCAGAGGGATCAGTGAGACTCTTACTTCTCTGTAGCAAAATCCTCCCTTGAAGGGACACAGATGCCCCTTGATCAGCCAGATGAAGTAGCATGGTGATGTTGCCCTCTGAACACGTGTGACCGTGCCAGCCCCAAGGGCAGCCAGATGTCCTTGGGGCCTGCCTCCTGCTGCTACACACTGCTTATCCATGTGGACATAAGCTGCTTTGCCGGCTCACTGCTGAGCTGATGTGTAGGAAGCACGGGTGTCTGGGTAGGAGGCAGAGGACACAGAGAAGAGGGAACATAAACAGCGACACTCGCCTTCTATATTATTCTTAGAGCTCAAGGGCAACAGGCAAGAAGTAGCACATCTTTTCCTGAGTACAGATTGCTGTTATTGCAGAGTATTTCCTGATGTAAAGAAGAGGGTGTTGGAATACCCTGCCCGTGTTCTCTTTGTGGGTACTGCATCACAGTTCATTCAGAAGATTCTGGGATGAGAATGGCTTGCATACTTTTGGGCAATGCTACTCACAGTGTGGCCTTTGGACCAGCAGCATGGGCACCATCAGTGAGCCCTTCCACTTCAGACCCTGGGCCTTACTCCAGAGCTGGCAAGTCTGAATCTACATTTTGACATGCCAGACCTTCTCCATGTCCCTGGGGAAGTGCCTTTAAATTTTAGAAGCCTTGACCTATGATGCTTGATTAAGATGCCAAACTGGAAGCTCATGTCTTAGAAACTGATTCACTTGCTTAGGACAAGCCTTAGAAATCTAGGAAGCACTGCATGGCTCTGCCTGCTTTGTAGACAACTGTGGTCCATAAGCAGCATTCATGGTGGAAAAGTCCAGGCCCTTTCATTTTTTTTTAATATTTTATTTATTTTTATTTTATGTGTATGAATGTATTGCCTGCATGTAAGTAAGTGCACCCATGTTGTGCAATGCTGCAGAAGTCAGAAGAGGATTTTGGATTCCCCTGGAGCTGGAGTTAAGGACGGTTTGTAACCACCATGTGGGTGCTGGGAATCGAACCCAGGTCCTTTGCAAAAGCAGTCATTGCTCTTAACTTCTGAGCCATCCCTCCAGCCCTTCATTTTTTAAAAATATTTTATTATTATTATTTTTTATGTGTATGAGTGTATTACTGCCTGCATGTATGTAAGTGCACTGGTGTTGTGCAATGCCTGTGGAGGTCAGAAGAGGGCACTATCCCCTGGAACTGGAGTTATGGATGGTTGTTAGTCGTCATGTGAGTACTGGGAACCGAACCTGGGTCCTCTGCGAGAGCAGCCGGTGCTGTTAACCACTGAGCCATCTCTCCCAGCACCCAGGCACTTCATTTAGACAGCCCTGAGATCAGGTCTCAGCTCATTACTGGCAGCTAGGTAACCTGTTAACCACATCATTTCACTAAGCTGGGCTCCTGATTGTAAAATGAGGATACAAATGCACCACCTTAAGTTTTGAGGTATGAAGACCAGCATTCTCAAAGCATTTAGTACCACATCCAGGACACATAGTAGACACTTGATAAATGCTAAGTATTTTTACTACTAGGGAGAACAGTTCATCAGCTTTGCCACTGAACAGTGGGTGGGGCACAGAGTGTTAATTTCAACCACAGAGATGAAAGCTCTCATGGAGGTATGAATGGCTTTCTGTTATTTAAGCACACTACATAGATTAAGACCTGCTTTTTCATTCCTAGAAGAGTCTGATACATGGGTCCCTCAATCTCACTGAGAAAACCATGCTTTAGAGAGTTTACATAGTCAATGTACATGGGGGTTGCACCATGCGAGGCCCTGAGAAAGACATGCAAGCATGAATCCAGCCCTCCTGTGTGTCTACCCAGATGGGAGCTGGGCCTCCACCGGTGGTGCAGGGCCTGCGCCGCTGTGCTCAGACATCGGGAAGAACAGCGGCCCTGAACGACAAGGGGGAGGGGCCATACCGGGGCGTCTGCAGCTTCGCTGCTGCGGGAGAGGTTGCCGTTCTGCACAGGTTCGGAAGCTTCGCTTGACGGAGTCATTTCGACTTCTGTGCTTGTGCTGTTGGGGAGCTCGATTTTTTCTGTGGCATAATTTAAACACAAACAAAACAAACGGAATCAATGGGAGTAAAAGGTTACTTTGGAAAGAACAGCTAAAATACTGGTCTGAAAGAGAACGGCGTCTGAGACCTGGGCTGGTGCTGGGCACTGGCAAAGGGTTTTTTGCGTCTGCCGGTACTGCCTAGCACTAGCACATCGTCCTTTCCCTTCCATAGCTCTGGCTTCCATTAAGTATGTCGTCAGGAGAGGCCATCAGCTCCAAAGTGTGACAGGCCACGTAAAGACACAGCTGCAGACCTTCAGGCACTGCAACAGCTGTGAGACTCTGGACCGGGCTTTTTTATTTTATTTTTTTTTATACCAGAAGCTTTTGTACGGCCCTCTGCAAGCTTTGTTAGCCAGGGTCCTGGGTCCTAGGCTCTGGTCTGCTACTACTAAGCCACCATCTTTGGCAGGCCCTGAAGTGAATTGTTCACCTGGCTGATGGCCAGGCGCTGCTTTCAGTGCTCAGGCTTCATGAGAGGAAACTGCCATGCCTGGTTGGTGGCTGGGAAGGAGGGCTTGGCTAGCTCCTCTTTCTACAACACCTGAGACTGCTCTTAGCATATTCTGCAGTGGACCCCCTGTTTCAGGAAAGGCAAGGGGGAGCTGGACAAAGCCCATCTGTGATACTCCTGAGTAAGAAGGAGCTAGAGGCATGGGTCAGCAAGTACAGTCCATGGCTAGGCACAGGGACTTTGCCACACTAGGAACCAGATAGGTTCCTCTGTAGTTCATACAGTGCTTCAACCTCTGTGGTGTTTGGGTTCCTCACCTGTGGGACTGAGGTCATGCCAACACCACCACTACTGCTGTTACTGCTGCTGCTGCTGCTGTGACCACCATGACCAAAGAGCATGACTGCAGGGACGGTAAGACAGTGTGTACAAAGCCTGGGCACCCGGCCTGGAAAGAGCCGGCAATCCAGAAACAAATTATTTGAACCTCCATTACCGTAACTACCTTTCTCTAGGGATCTTTGATGGTTAAGAGAAGCACCTCCAGGTTCAGCTGGAATTTCAGTGGGAGCGAAATAGAAAGGTTCTCATTGACACCAACTGTTCAGGATCAGAAGGGAATGGTAGTTGTGGTACAGGGTCAAGGTTACAGGGACAAGAAGCCCCTAACAGCACCAGATGTGAGCAGCTCATGGAGGTTCAGAATGTTTTATTTTTCTCTAACAATTTCAGAAGAACTATTTTTTATCACTAGAGCATAAGAAAATAATTTGAGATACTTTGGGCTGGGCATAATAGCATATGTGGGTAATCTCAGTACTTAGTAGGTAGAGGCAGGAGGATAGCCACAAGTTCAAAGTCATTCTGGTCTATGTACAAAGTTCTGGGCTGGTGCTGGTTCCCTCCCCGACTCCCTCCAAAAAAAAAAAAAAAAAAAAACCGAACTCAAGATTCACAAGTAAAACTTAATTAGGCAAAACTTTTCCCAATGTAACTTTACAAGTTTATTTTATAATATTTATTTTATGTGTATAAGTGTATGTAAATGCACCTGTGTAATACAATGCCCACAGAGGTCAGAAGAGGGTGTCGGATCCCCTGGAACTGGAGTTAATGGATGGTTGTTAGCCACCGTGTGGGTGCTGGGATTTGAACCTGGGTCTTCTGCAAGAACAGTCAGTGCTCTTAACCACTGAGCCATCTCTTGAGTCCTGATTCTACAATTTTATAAAACAAAGCCAAAATTTGCTCAGTCTAAGAAACGTAAATCCAGAGCAACAGAAAGAAACAGACAAAAACTGTAATTCATAACTCCAAGTTGAAGAGGTAACCCTTGTTGACATTTGAACGGAATTCAGATAATACAAGAGGCAGAAACCTGTCTATGAAGTGTCATGTATTTTGAGTGCAAAACTTTGTCAAATTTTGGCTGCAGATAATTTTAGTTACTTGAGCAACAGCTTCGTTTACAGATTCGATCCTGATTAGGTTAAATTTAGCTTGAATTTAAAATTGAGAACTATATTATAGTTACAGACAGAAGAGGAGGAACACCATGCTCCAAGTTAAAATAAGATGCCTGAATGTCACAATCTGGTCACACAGGAGCTCTAGAGACCTCAGCCAAGAGAGACCTGGGCTGGTGCTGATAAATTTTTCTTTTTGCCTCTCTCTAGCCGTGTGTGTGTGTGTGTGTGTGTGTGTGTGTGTGTTGTGTATGTGTGTGTGTGTGTGTGATGTGAGTTAGTGTGTCTGTGTGTGGGCACACATGTTCATGTGTGTGGGTGGAGGCCAGAGATGTCCTCGATTACTGTCTACCTCATTTACTGAGGCAGAGTCCCTGGCTGAACCCAGAGATTTCTAGTTTGGCTAGTTTATTTAGCTAGCTTGACCCAGAAATCCCCTGTCGCTGCCTCCCAAGTGCTGAGATTACAGGTGGGGGCCACCACTCCCACCTATCATTTATGTGGGGTGCTGGGGATCTGGATGAGGTCTTTATGCTTGCCATTTGAGTGCTTTATCCACTAAGCCATCTCCCCAGCTCTGATATCGCTGAATTCTTACAAAAGAAGAGGAAACACCAACTGGAAGGGACTATGTCACTGTTGGGGGACAGAGTGGTAATTCAGTGGGTACTCAGCCAACATTGGTAGGGTTATATAATCTGTTCACCAGGCTAGCATACAGAAGGAGGCCTCTTTCCTTTGGTTAAATATTAAATGACTTGGATGTGTCTCTTTTATATGGCACCCTAAAGTGAGAGGATCTCCTCTAGAATAATGGTGCCTGAGGATTTGGCTAGAATCATTTTATTCCTGTTGGACTTCCCACAATGATATTGGTGACATACATGTCCATTCCTGCCCTGTCCCAGGTGGGGAAGAGAGACACATTTCATTGTTCAGGAAAGGGCCTAAGTGACAGTGGGTCAGGGGTGTCCGCTCTGGGCCCTGTCTCTCAGTCCCACTTGTCCCCATGGAAGGACAGGGGATGGGCATCTCCTTCCACTTACCCACATTATTGGCAGCCCCATTCTGCTGCTCATTTTCATCCACCTGGCATTTCTTCTTGGCAATCTTGTGGAGAATTGAAGCCTTTTCTCTGAACCTCCCTGAAGCAAGAGAAAGTGGCAAGAAGGAGACAGAGTGAGAAGGCAGCGTGGCAAAGCAGGTGTGTGGCTTCACCAGTTAAGCTGTATTACAGCAGTTACCACGCCGCTCCGTCAAACCCACATGCCCTCCAACCTTGTATGGAGGGCACTTTCTTACCTTGCTGGATGCTTTAGCCCAGTTCTCTATTTCAGAACATCAAGCCACTGGACCATAGAGGAAAGGTGTTACTTGGACCTCTCCCCTTCTCAGGTGTTTACAAAATAAGTGAAAGCATCAAGCATCCCTAAAACTGCCATGCAGTTGGGAAGACAGGCCAAGTCCAGCAGTCCTTTGACTTGACTTTGGTTTTCAAGTATTTATCAAACTAACATTGTGGTTTCTATATGAGCTGGGAGCAGGCCTTGCAGTTTCCACATCAGCTGAGTCAGCTGCTATGCAAGCATCAAAGAGGTGACTGATTCCATTTGGGGAATTAGGGCAAAGAAGGATCAATGGAGCATGTTGGTGGTGAGACACTTCGGGAAAGGTGCTGGAAAAATACCATTCCCAGCGTACTCATTGTAAACAGCTGGTTTCCCCTTCACTATTGACGATATTAATGGGTAAATGCATGTGACAAGCACAGAAAGTAGGTATGAAAAAACGCAGCGGTTAGTGACACACAGCACCTCTTTCTCTTCTCTCCCTCCCTCCCTCCCTCTCTCAGGTTTACAAAATTCACAGAATAGTTGTCTTATTCTGTGACAAAGCTGTGGTTCTCAGCCCAGCTGTAACAATGTCCTGCAGCTTGGATTGACTCTCCCTCCCTCCCTCCCTCCCTCCCTCCCTCCCTCTCATCTTTTTAAGACAGGGTCTTCCTGCAGCTTCAGCTGACCTGGAACTCACTACGTGGACCAGGTTGACCTTAATCTCACAGAGATCTGCCTGCCTCTGCCTCTGGAGTGCTGGGATTACAGGCGCACACTACCATGCCTGGCTACATTTCTTCTTTATAATCTTTGATTTTCTTCCTTGGGAACATTCAAGGTACAAAAGAGTCTCATTTTAAATTGATTACTGCCTAGATTCCGACATGATGAGTTCTTCAAAATACCATCACTCCCACAGTTTTCCACTGGGCGTGTTTTATTGGCGTGCTACCCAGCAGCATATTAATAGAGGATTTCATTCTATTTTTCTAATTAGAAACAAATCAAATGAAAACGTTTCACCTGGAAAGTTCTAAGGCAGGGACATGACAGGAAGGTATCTATTGCCGCTCCCTTGCACATGCATGGGAATCATGGCACACAGTCAGGGCGGTGACTTGTGTAACAGGTTGAGAGTAATAGAATCTGTAAACTCTTATGTGGAGGTGACATAGGATGGGGTTCTTTCTGCTCACAGCTCCATTGGCCATAAACCTAAATATCCTCTTAAAAAAACAATAACTTTTGAGCAACATTATAAACTCATGACTTTAAATTTATTTTGTTTCAATCAATTGTATTTTTTAAAACATTTTAATATTGAGGTGGCACGTGCAATGCTACAACTTGTGGGAGCCTGTTCTCTCCTCTTGTCATGTAATACTGAAGACTGAACTCAGGTTGTTGCAGTTGGAGGCAGGTGCCGTTAGCCATTGAGCCATGTACCAACCTCAGTTTCCTGCAATACAAAGGCGTACCCAACTCACTCTGCCAGGAAGCCTCCTTAGGTGCAGTGTTGGCCACACCTGGCCTGGTTTTCTCAAATTGTACAAGACCATGGCAGACAGAGTCGGGGATGACTGTGGAGCTGGGATTTTGCAAGTCTTATTCATGTGACATTAAGTGAGTTTTTTTTTTGCCTATATGTTGCTGATTTTCCTGCAACAGCAGTATCTCTAGTTTTCTGTGTAATTGAAAGGAGGGAGGCCTTATTACTTATTTTATTTTTTATGTGTATGAAATGGCAAAGTTGAACATTTTGTTCTGGCTGACTTTTGTTTCACCTTGTGTTTCTGCCTAGACCCCTCCTGCTCTAACTGCATTCAGCCAGCCTGTAGTTTGAGGGGGTACATTGTTTCTACAATACTGGGAAACTTCTAACTAGCCCGGTAGCATGTCTAGGTAGCACATTCTCCCACCCAGCCATACCTGCATCTCCATGGAGCCCATTGTTTCTGCAATACTGAGAAGCTTGTTTTTCCTAATTGAAACTTTTTGTTAACCGAAAAGCACTTTGTTAACTGACCTGGTCTGGTGTAACTCTGGTGATCTGATGTAACTCTGGTTATTGGCTTTGCCCCTAGCATGATGTAATTGTGGTTTTAAGTTTTATAAACCCCACTCTGCCTCCTGTAGGGGTGGATGTTCTTTTGGGCATTATCCTCTTCTCTGACTGCTGGCTAATAAAGGACTCCTGATTTGACCATCACTATGTGGTGTTCCTCTGTGCCTCTTGCTTGGTATTACATGCATGAGCATATTAGTGCATATACATGTGCCACATTCGAGAAGTGTCCAAGGAGGCCAGAAGACAGTGTTGGATCTCCTGGACCTGGAGTTAAGGACGTTGTTAGCTAGTTTCTGGGTCCTCTGCAAGAGCAGCCAGTGCTTTTAACTACTGTACCATCTCTCTAGCCCCAGGTCCCTGGGTATTCAGAAGGTCCCTCTGTGCCTTGCGGGTGGGAAGACATAGTACCTTCGGGAGCACCAGCAGGGGAGAACTTTGAGGGGGACACAGCACTACATTGTGGTGAAGTTGAGGTAATTGAGAGGTGGGTAGATCCAGCTGGCACCTAGCTCTTTCCCTGGTTCTGCTGGGTGAGTTTTGATAAAGTCTCTGCAGCTCTGAGTTTCAGTTTTCTTGGTGGTGACATAGAGATCGTAGACTCAAGAGTTAAATGTGAGGCTTAAGTGAGAAAATGTGAGTAAAGGGCTGCCACACTATGGCATTGGAAGAGCTCTCTATAAATAAGAAGAAAAACCAAGAGTCTTGGGCAAGGGTGGGGCAGGCCTGAGTTGCTTTAGGATTGTTGCAATCGTTGTGTTGGCTTCATCCCCCACAAGCAGGATGGGAGAATTGGCCACACCCGTCAGCAATGTAAACTGCCAAGACCTTGTTGGATCGGGGCTCATGTTTGAAATAGCCTCCCAAAAGTCACTTCTAAGTGTTAGGCCCAGTTCATGTTGTTTTAAGGGTGGGCACAGAAGGATGGGTAGCTTTGTGTCTTTGGCAATAAAGATTCAAGATACTTTTGAATACTTTTCAAGATGAGTGAGGAATGATTTTTAATCTGATTGAAAGCAGCCTTAAAAATATCCTCAGTTGTGTTATAAACCCTGAAGGTGTTGTCTTTTTATATAGCTATGGATTTTGTATACTTAGAAGTATCAGAAATAGCAAACTCTGCTCAAATCGTGAGGCACCTACGTCAAAACCTGGTACACAGTTTTAATATAATTTAGCTTGATGTGAAATTTGCAAGAGTACCAGCTGAGTGTCCTCAGAGGACAGCTGTGAGGCGGCTGAGGAAGTACCGGGGGAAAAGACGGAGCTCAGGGCTTCCTGGACATGAGTACTAGCTCAGAAACAGTAGGGAATTGGAACCTTTGGCCTAATCACTTCAAGGTAACCCCCAAGCTGCACCTCAAAATAACTGTGGAGGGTTTGCTCACTCAAAGGAAGTGAATTTCACTTCTGTTCTGTTGTTAATCAATTATACAGCCTCTTGGAAATCCCTTCACATCTTTCCCTATAATAGGCAGATGTCAAAGGGCTGGTGATCGGATTAGGTCCAGGCCACCATGGAACAGTCTCAACAACAGCAACACAGAAAAAAAATAGGACAAAATAGACGGTGCAAAGGGAGCCACTGGGGAGCAAAAAATGAAACAGATGAGAAACTTGAAAACAAGTCCTTTAAGGTCTATTTCTGTGTTTGCAGTTCTGCCTTTCCGGTCTCTTCCTTTGAAGCTCATGGCTTGGTAAGTAGCTTCAAAAGCCAAGGGGCGCCTGAGCTTCTGTCCTCCTTTGTTCCCTGTCTTTTCTTCTGAAAGGACAGACCAATCAGACAGACCCTCATCATTCTGACAAGACTCTGACAGAACCAGTGTGGCACCATGGGTCATCCCTAGCGCTTCTCTTTTTCTCATCTGCAGTTTCTGTTTTTACATTATATCAGAATCTGCCCATTTTTCCTTCCTGGCTCCATTGCTCCCTGAGTCCAGTTAGCATCCAGGAGCAATTCAGCCCATTAGGGTCTCCTTGCCTCCCTTACCTCCATGTCTTCCAGGTTCTTCTCATCCCATAGGGATGAATAAACCAGGTGATATAATCCTTTCTTGGTGGAAAAGTCTGCGGTGGATCTCCGGGTCAGAGTGAAAGTCAATTAATTGCCTGCAGCATTTTATCCAATCCCTGACCATCGTGACCTTGTCTGTTAACCCCTCCTTGTTCATTCTGCTCCAGCCATGCTAGCCTCCTCACTGTTTCTTAAGAACACTGTGCCCTCTCCCTCTGGACCATGGCATTAGCTAGCCTTAGTCTCCGTAATGCTCTTCCCCAGAAACCAGAGGCTCACTGTCTTCCCTCCCTCTAGCACCTGTTCAAATGCCACTGTCTCACTGGAGCCTCCCTGAGCAGCCTCTTTAGATTTATGCTTCCTCTCTCTAGCCCCAACTTATTTTCCTTTCTCTAAAGGAGCTATTCTCATTATCACTATTGCTATTGATTATTTTGTTCTCTACTAGTAGAAAAGTTGTGAGGACAGGGCTTTTTATGGGTTTTCCTCCTTACTGTGTCCTCAGCACTCAGTGAAACCCAATAAAACCTGTGTTCATTGTGTCTAGGCAAGTAGATGAGAGTGTATCTTCTTGCTGATTCAAAGTAAGCCCTCTCAGGACCTCCCCAAGCCATGGATCTGGTGAAGTGGAGGGATCACTTAAGCGATAAATAGGAGACAGTGGGGTACACTGGGCATTTACAGTCCTGAAGTAAAAGGCAGGGACCACACCAGTTGTTCTCCCTTCTGTGG